CGTCTATGGTTCTGTCCGCGGCGTCTATGGTTCTGTCCGCAGCGTCTATGGTCCTGTCCGCAGCGTCTATGGTCCTGTCCGCGGCGTCTATGGTCCTGTCCGCAGCGTCTATAGTTCTGTCCGCAGCGTCTATGGTTCTGTCCGCGGCGTCTATGGTCCTGTCCGCAGCGTCTATGGTCCTGTCCGCGGCGTCTATGGTCCTGTCCGCAGCGTCTATAGTTCTGTCCGCAGCGTCTATGGTTCTGTCCGCGGCGTCTATGGTTCTGTCCGCAGCGTCTATGGTCCTGTCCGCGGCGTCTATGCTCCTGCCCGCGGCGTCTATGGTCCTGCCCGCGGCATCTATGGTACAAAGCGGCCACAGCCGCACTGGGCTCAAAGCGGAGGATGTGAATGCCGTTCGAGTATGTAATGCAAACAACAGAAAGTGCCCCAAAGCGACTGAGAAAAACTAAACCCTTGAAAACTCACAGCAGGAGAACGAGCTCACACTGAAACAGTCACACGGCGCCATCTGTCGGCTGTCTTCAGAACTGCACCATTAAATACATCTGCACAACTAAGCTTCATTTGTGCGCTTCTTTGTGAACTGGTTCTGTGTTCCAAACCTGGACTGAGCTCTGATTGGCTGAAGGCTCTTTTTCTCACTGGAACAATTGGATTCTTTGAGGCCTGCTGCCTCAAATTCCTGCCTCAATCTGCTGTTTCTGCTGCTCTGCTCAGAAAGATTAGAAAGTGCTGATGAGGCCATTTCAGATTGAAGTTTTGAGCTGAGAGTGTTATATTTGTCTGCAGTGATGGTGGAGAAAAGGTTTGATGATGAGGCGGCACGGTGGCTGAGTGGATAGCACTCTCGCTTCTCAGCAAGAAGGTCCTGGGTTCGAATCCCGGTTGGACCAGGGCCTTTCTGAGTGGACTTTGTATGTTCTCCCCGTGTCTGCGTAGGTTTCTTCTGGGTACTCTGGTTTCCCCTACCACTAAAAATATGTCCAATAGGTCTGACATGTTCCTCCTGTACTGGCGACCCCGCTCCCATCTCTGTGTGGAGTGAAAGACAATTGCCCAAAATTAACAATTGTAAACCGCTTTGAGACTCAGATCTGCAGTGAAAAGGCGGTATATAAATACAGATTACTTACTTACTTACTGACACAGGAGATTATTGTGGCTTTATCATTGGACTAAAACATAAGATGCAGCTTCCTTCTTTCACTTCCTTCTACATTTACAATGTTCCACATGTATCTTTACTGTTGGAGTCTCTAACAGCTCAGATATGTGTTTGTGTCTCTACATTTATCCTCTCACCAGCGACACTGGGCTTTGGGGAACTTGATCTTTGTTTTGATAAAGACCTAAAGAGCCATTCTGAAATGTTCCCATGGTTTAGAACGTTTTTGGGCTGCTTCGCTTCCATCTTGTCACATTGTTTGTTTCAGCCAAAGCCAAAGTCAGATTGAAGTTATTGAACAGTGAGTGTCCTGCACAGATTTGTTACATTCCAAATGTAATATTGAGGAGAAAGTTTTCTGTTTCAATATTGGTACAAAAAACACAGACATTTCCTCAGTTCATTCAAATATATTTCTGCTTTTGGACTTACAGTAATAATGTGTGTATTATTGAGTTTCAACATCATGACATCAAATGTGGTGTTTTACTGGAGACAAAGACGAGGAGTTTCTCACGAAGAATCTCATTATTGTTCACAAATGTAAATGTGCTTTTTCTGAAGGAGCTGTCAGCTTTAATAGACTCTTTGAAACACTTGGGGGCGCAGTGCAGCAGTTGGCTGCGAGATTTCACTGCTTCCTGCGAATACACACAGTCTGTGGTAAGGACACACCATGGATCTATTATAATAACTGGATAGGGTATTACTAGCTTGTAGCTGAATAACTCACGTGCTCGGAGGATTCTCGCGGTACTGCAGACTGAACCAGACTAAATTCACGTGGGCTACTGAAGATGGCAAAGTCTGGGATCGCGTCTTTAATTCAGTCAGAAGACATGTTTTATTGTCGATGGTAGAGACAGCACAAACAAGACGAACAAGGGATGTTACGACAGCAAGTGTATTATACAGCATGGAGGAATGCAGTCCTCCAATCAGCAGCTTCCACGGTGCCATGTAGCTTGGCCTTCAGAAGTCAAAACAAGGGAAAAGTACTGGCTTGTGCAAATGTAATAAGGATGAGTTTGCACTTTAACAATAGTTGCTTCAAAGTGTTATGAAATCTCACACTACCCAGACATTTTCCCCATAGGACTCAATGCATATTAAAACAGCTCGACCTCAGCTGACAGAGAACCTACAGCTTTAATAAAGATCGGATTTTGTGGGGATTTTAGTGTCCCTTGTCATCCTGAACTTTTTTTCTTATTAAATCCTTCGGTTTTGTTTAAATCCACACTTTAGTGCCACAAACTCTGCTCGTCTGGCTCTCGCTCACTCCCGCTCTGATGAACTGCTCTGATTGGTCAGAGCGCGGCCTTGTGCACGTGCGTGAGACCTGGTGTGCGACCCACACATGCGTGTTTGGCGCAAAGCATTATGGGAGATCATCCACTGCACAGAACCGGGAGGACCAGACGATGCCCAAATACAGGCGAGTTTCCCATAGATCTTTGCGAGTTTCAGGCGACATCCGCTAATCTTTCTGCCCCCATGCCGTCACAAAGCGCCACTGAGCACAACCATTCATTTGAATAGGGCGCCATCTTGGATTGCCGGGGCTTGGGACACATGTGAAAGAACCGCATCTACAACACAGCCACAGTTTATACTCTGTCCACTAGTGATGGCAATATGAAGCCCCATGAAGCCTTGAGGGGTCGCAGCCTATTACTCGGCCCATGAGTCGAAGGCTTGAGGTGAATCATGCTCCACTACGCCATCATGTGGACAAAGAAATACATAACACTCTTAAGTGCTTACAATGAATGGTGAGATCTAATGTTAAAATGTATATTTACAATCTATGGTCTAACGTGTTGGGTTTGAAATGATGCTTCATGAACTATGTGTTGATACAACAAACACATCCAAAGTAATACAGTTCTACAGAAAGTGATTAATGGAGGAAAAACTACCAAGAGGTGGATTAATTAAACACAACAAACCATTTATTCTCAATAAATAAATACATTTACTTTGCAACACAAAATGTATGATAGGTAGACCGGGATTCGAACGCTGTATCTTCTGCTTTGGAGTCCGTCATATACCGACTGCGCCACACAGCTGTTATGAAATGTGTTATCCAGCGTATTATTACTAATAACTTGAAGCCTTGATATATGAGGTTTTACTAAAGTGAAACGTTTTTAATTGTATTTCATATGAAGTTGTTTCTCTATACTTAGTACAGGACTGCTCCACATCACGCACACACACGTACGCACACAGAGGCAGACGGGGACAGCCAATACAGTCTATGGTACAGCCGCGGATCACAAAGCACCTGTCAAAGCAATGCACTCTCCGAACTATATGAAGCACTATATCAGGGGTGCTCACACTTTTTCAGCATGCGAGCTACTTATAAAAGGATCAAGTCAAAATGATCTACCTACTACAAAAATGCAAATCATATATTTATTTCAAAAAATATTCTTTATACCTACAATGTATGTTTATGTACATGCAAAACCGCATGAGCCAATATAGCACAACACAACACAATTACCTATGTAAATTTTTTGTCATTACCCGAGTTTACTCTGATGACTTGCACTGAATTGAATCGGCCAGGGAGGCATAGTCCGGAAAATTGGTGGTAACTCGCTGACAAGTTTGTCGTTGTTTAGCTTTCCTGCACTGAGCGCGGTTGTTTGCGCATGTGCAGTCACCTAAGTGTCAGTAAAACATTACTGAGTAAAACATTACTGAGTAAAACACAGATGTCATTTGACTGTGGTGCCATGTCCATGTGCCATGCCTGTTTTTTTTAAATCCAAATATTTCCCCTCCTCAGTTTATAAAATAATTTGCATCCACACATCTGCGTTATCAATCACATTCGTAACATTCCAAACATGTGCGTCTCTTACGTCCTGTCCTGCGTTGGGGAAAAACACGGAAGTGGGCGGAGCTTTGATGCAGACGCCGGTAACGGCACTTTTACAGTCATAGAAGACACTCAGAGTAAAGACGTATGTTTACAAGCACTGACCCCGTCCTCAGCCCTGGTTTAGTCCTGGTTTAGTCCTGGTTTAGTCCTGGTTTAGTCCTGGTTTAGTCCTGGTTTGGTTGTTTTCGAGCGTGAGTCCCCGCGATCACTTTGCTGCTCTCTGATGTGGAGCGCTGCTGCGAGCATCTCACAGCGAACAGTTTTTAAGGTAGTATGATCCATGCTTCAGTGATCAGAGGAATTTAGGGGGTACTGTGGCGTGCGAGAACGCAAAACTCCGGTTATCTCTGTCTACACACAAATGCATTAACGGAGTTTTCAAAAATCTCCACTTTGCCCGGAGTTTTTTGCATATATTTGTTTAGAATGTGTAATTTTTTATTTATTTAATGCGATCTACAAATACTACCTTTGCGATCGACTGGTAGATCGCGATCGACGTATTGAGCACCCCTGCACTATATGAACCGTGACGTGGTGCGGCTGCTACGCGAGGCTTCGAACGTCACCAACACACGCCTCGAACCACGCTTCAAAAAATACCAGTGGCGGCTGGTGATGGAAAAAGTAGGGGGGGGCTGAGGTACCATGTGTTTTTAATTTTTTTTGCAATTAAACAATTGCTGCTGTTTGTTTTTGAGCCATTACTTTGGTGTTAATGTAATAAATAAATAGTATCAAATGTAATATGAATTTAGAATGTTCTTGTATATTTCAAATACTGTTCTTTCAAAGACAGAAAGATGTGCCAATTTGAGATCCATTGGAAACCAAGTCATACAAGATGAATTTGTAATTGCTGTTATTTGCATGAATTACAGTGAGTGCAAAGAGTCAATATTCAATAAACAAATAATTAAATATTTGCCATTACATAGTGACCACTAGAGGGAGAAGACTGTACATTAATTGGAACGTGAGAAACTCAAAAAATGCTATACAAAGATGCTGTTGTGTCTCTGGAGGAGCAGAGTAGATGCTGCTGTACGTGGAGGAGCAGGGGAGATGCTGCTGTGTCTCTGGAGGAGCAGAGGAGATGCTGCTGTGTCTCTGGAGGAGCAGAGGAGATGCTGCTGTGTCTCTGGAGGAGCAGAGGAGATGCTGCTGTGTCTCTGGAGGAGCAGAGGAGATGCTGCTGTTGGAGGAGCAGAGGAGATGCTGCTGTGTCTCTGGAGGAGCAGAGGAGATGCTGCTGTGTCTCTGGAGGAGCAGAGGAGATGCTGCTGTGATTGGAGGAGTAGAGGAGATGCTGCTGTGATTGGAGGAGTAGAGGAGATGCTTTGTGCCTGATGGAGAGAAGCAGCTGAGATGATTATGTCACTTGTAAAGAAATTTGGCTCTCCTTTCTTTCTGGGTTGCAAACCTATCAATAACTTTGCTGTTGAAGTTGGGCATTTCTTTCACAATCTTTTTCTTCATAGAAAGCATGGCAAGGGCATTCAGTCTTTCTTGAGACATTGTGTTCCTTAGGAACGTTTTGATTCTTTTTAGAGTGGAGAAGCATCTTTCAGATTCTGCCGATGTCATTGGAGTAGTGATAAGAAATTTTAGAAGTTTAACCGTTTCTGAAAATGTGCACTGAAGGTTGTTCTCCATAAAAAACTGATAGAGGCACTGCACCACTACACTTTTCAAACACCGGGTTTTCATAGACCAAGGATAGTTCCGTCTTCAGTCTAGCCTTGTTCAGCATTGGATAGGCCTCCACGGTGGCATTCAAAGCAGCACTTGGAAAGGTTGTAGAATGTTGTGAGAACAGCTCTCCATGCAGCAGTGTTGAACTCACAAGGTGCCCAGTAAACGCAAAGTGTTCCTTTGTTTGAGCCCAGATGGTATCACACACCTGTAAAACATAGAAAATAAATAACATTAATTGCTTTACAAAGAGCTTCATTAAATTATGTCACAATAATTTGAGTATAGTAGTAAATGTGGATATGCAAAAATCAGGTATGAAATACTGTTGTCTAAACCAAAACTAATCAATGATCTACAAGAGAACTAAATCATTAGTGAATTGAGATGCAGAGGAAATCCAAAATACAATTTGTGTAATGTACATCATTCTGTACATGTGCTATGTTTTTATCTGTAGTGGTACTTTCTCAGCACATAAAGTCCCTAACAGATAAAGTGAATTTGATATGGCAAAACATTAGTAACTGCTTCAAACAAAACACAAAATTAAAACTATAGAACAGCAGAGGACCTCTGAGTGGCACCAGTAACCGTGCAGCAGTTTGTGAAGCACTACTGTAGACTAGAGCAGTGATTCCCAAAACTTTTGGGCAGGGAATCCAAAAAATGGCACGTAAACAACTCGGAACATCGTTGTATAAAGTAATTGCCTCTTACGCTACTTTAGGGAAGAAAAACATTTAAAAATCAAGTTCATATGTATTTAAACTGTTTATTTTGATAATTAAATTCTGTTATACACTAAAAAATATGCTAAAAACAGTAGCATTTTTTGTTTTTATTTCATCCTGAAATCATCTGGAGACAACCACCCAGGGTCTCGCGACCCCCCGAGGGGTCCCAACCCCCACTTTCAGAACCACTGGACTAGAGCACAAGAGGAGGCATGTGAAAGTGAACAAAGCTGTACCTCAATAGCAATCCGATGTCTTTCTGCGGGCCCCAGTGTCCCCTGTCGCTTGGCAGCTGGAATCTCCTCTTGCACAGTGATTATGGAAGACCTTGTTTAAACATAAAACAATTGCTTAATACTGTACTACATTATTCTGCATTCATGTTATTCCTATGATTTTTCACATTTACCTGATGTTTATGATGCTGTCGGCAAAATTACAGATGGCAGCTTTGATGAAGATGGGGTCAATGTTTCGTTTCTGAAGTTGCTGAAAGAGCATGTCGACGTGTGGCATGATTTTGTGAAATAGTTGGAGAAAAAAGCAAAATGTACCATCCTCCAGCATCCTCACAAACCCTCCTGCTTCTCTCACAGTCACAGCATCAAAGTTCCCAGAGTCCTGAATGGTCTTAAAACACTTAAGAAGGTCATCCCTGTGCTCATATACAGTGTTCACTGAGCGACTGTGAAAGTTCCACCTTGTTGCACACGCTTTCGGAAGTCTGCTGCCAACCACATCATAAAGCACGCTGGTTCGTTTGGGGGACCTTGATGCACAAAATCCACCTAGCTCCGAAAAAAATGTGGAGACCTTGGGTATCTTTGAGGTGGCTTGCTGCATTACCAGATTGAGCTGATGTGCGTAACAATGCACGTAGTGTGCGTTTTCATAAACATCCATCACTTTACGCTGAACTCCTCCAGTGGCACCCCGCATAACGCTCGCTCCGTCATAAGCTTGAGCTATTAATTTGGTCTTGTCATTGGGTAGGATCAACACACTCATCCTTTCCAAAAGTGCTTGAGCGATGTTTTCAGCATTAGCGTTTTCAATTGGTATAAACTCAAAAAAGCGCTCTTGAATTACGTTGTAGCGGTCGATGTAGCGAAGTACAAGTACAAGTTGGCACTGGACAGACAAGTCAGATGTTTCATCGGCTTGAATAGCAATATAATCAGCCGCAGTCACCTCGTCCTGAATGTACTCCTGAACAACAGCCAGCATACAGTCCAGCAACTCATTCTGAATAGTTTTGGACGTACCTCTGAACACAGTAGCTCCCTCCAAATGCTCCTTCAGAGCAGCGTCCAACGACGAGGCGAAGTTAACAAGGCCCCTAAAAATGCCTGGGTTGTCAGAGGCTTCAGTCTCATCGTGGCCACGCAAAGCCAATTCAAAAGCACCACAAAAGTTTACACAGTCAATCAGTTTAGACAGAATATAACGATTCTTGTCGACTTCCTCATTGTGCCTTCTTATAAAAAGCCGGTGGCCATCATCCAGCTGAGTAGCAATGTTAGCCTTTCCCAGCAACGCAAATTTCAGGAAGTTGTCCATATGCATCTTTGTGTGTTCGTGTTTTTTGATTTTTTCCGAAACATGTTTCATATCCCGAACACCGTTTTCACACCAGGCTCGATCGGTCGCGGCAGTTTTAAACAGCAAACAAGGAAAGCAAAACAGCGCGTTAGCTACTCCGCAGCCGGTTAGCCACGGCTTCCTAGTGTACCATGTCCGCGAAAAGCCTCTGGTATAAGACGCTTCCTTGTCTTTCACCTGCTGTCTGATGTTAATTTGTGGCTGGAACAGGTGTTCTGTCGAGACGGCCCCCCGTCAAAACATATTATCTAGTGCATCTGCGCATGCGTCCAAGTAGGTTTACCGAGCCATCGGATTTAGCATCTCCAGCTTCACGTGAGTGGTTGTCTTTACAAGAAACAAGATTATATTCGTGTATTTTGCTATGTTTTGCTGTACACTAGTACACTACACATTGCAGTGACGAAGTACTAGTTCAAATTAACGTAAAGATGTTGACAATAATGTTAATATTTTTAGCTATAGGTTGAAGTTATACGTCATTAGTCTTAAGCCTCGGGACATGTGCATTAGCTAGTTTCATGTGCATGTGCATTAGCTAGCGTCCCAGTAAAAGATATCAAGGATAGCAAATTTCGATATTCTAAATTCATTCATCGAGATATGCCCCCCTTGTAAATGTAATTTTACATACCACATGCAACTTTGAACACCACACTTTTGTGACCTGCATGTGAAACTGTTGCCAAAATGTTCCCTAGATATTCTTCACGCTGTATGATAATCACATAACCTAAAGATATCAAGGATAGCAAATTTTGATATTCTAAATTCATTCATCGAGATATGCCCCCCTTGTAAATGTAATTTTTTATCCATAAACTAACTGTTAGTGGTCAAGGATAGCAAATATCGATATTCTAAATTCATTCATCGAGATATGCCCCCCTTGTAAATGTCATTTTTTATCCATAAACTAACTGTTAGTGGTCAAGGATAGCAAATTTCGATATTCTAAATTCATTCATCGAGATATGCCCCCCTTGTAAATGTAATTTTACATACCACATGCAACTTTGAACACCACACTTTTGTGACCTGCATGTGAAACTGTTGCCAAAATGTTCCCTAGATATTCTTCACGCTGTATGATAATCACATAACCTAAACCTACATCCCAATATATTACAAATAAGATCAGATAAGATAAAAATTTAAAATCTAAACTATGTTTTCTTTGTTCTTCTTTCCAGTTCCAGAAATCTACCTACTACTATCGCCAACCTCACTATTTTCTTTGTCTCTCCTCTCTAATCTTTCATCTGTCTGCTACTGACCACCTCTGATCCTGTTTGACCCTCGCCTGTCCCCGACCTCGCCTTTAGCCCAACGTCTCCTGGTTCTGTCTGCTACTGACCACCTCTGATCCTGTTTGACCCTCGCCTGTCCCCGACCTCGCCTTTAGCCCAACGTCTCCTGGTTCTGTCTGCTACTGACCACCTCTGATCCTGTTTGACCCTCGCCTGTCCCCGACCTCGCCTTTAGCCCAACAAATATTATTGGAGAATTAGGGAGAGTAATTGGGACAACGTTTTTAATTATCTTGGCCATAAAAAATACCCAACTGATTTCACAAAAAATCAGAAAATAAATTTAAGGAAATATGCCAAGAAATTTACAGTGAAGGGTAAGCATTTAAGTACTACTTTACTTTTTTAAATGGTATTTATTTTTAGATTATTGTTGTTGGTGATTACTGTTATACAGATGGGGAACTGTTTTTTGGGACAAGAAAGGCTATAAAAGGAAAAGAGGAGGCCTGGAAAATCTTTCTTCAATTCCATGCTACGCCAATGGGGGGCCACACTGGCATTATTAAAACGCGACATGCCTTGTGTTCCAGATTTTATTGGTATGGAATGACAATTGACATTGACAATTGGGTACGTGTTTTAAAGCATTATAAATACCAATTGGACTTCATGAGATGCACATAATTCATTTTATCATTGAAGGTTGGAGAATGTGACAAGTGTCAACGGAAAGGAAAGCCGTTGGCAGCTGTTTTGCCCCTTGAAAACATAAAGGTAAATTTGTTCTTAACTTTTTAACAGCCTATGGGAAATTAATAGCTACATTTCTTTCCTTGGCAGGTGTCAGCTGTCTGGGAACTAGTGGGCATAGACCTTACTGGGCCATTGCCCAAAACACCAGATGGGTTCATGTATATTCTGACGGCCACTGACTATTTTTCAAAATGGGTTGAAGCATACCCTTTAAAGAGCAAGTCTGCGTTAGAGGTTGCACAACGGCTGTGCTCCATCATATATCGACACGGCTGCCCAAAGCGCATTCTGTCTGATCAGGGACGGGAGTTTGTAAATGAGGTATGTAGCTTTGTATCTGTGTATACATTATAAAAATCAACACTATTTCAGTAATTTCTGTTGTATGTACAGCTCAACAATGAACTCTGCACCCTCCTACATATTGAGCGCAGTGTCACAGCTGCATATCACCCCCAAACAAATGGTCTGGATGAGAAGACAAATTATAACATAAAGCAGTAAGTTTAATACCCTCACTATCAACAATTTGACAATAAATTCATTTTTAACTAAAGTTAACATTTGCATACATTTAATGTTATGTATGGCCATGATCTTCATTAGATAATATAGACTTTATTGATCTCACAATGAAGAAATTTACACCAGTAAGATTATGTCTCACATGTTTACTGCACCTATACATTCATAATTTTCACTGTCGCACCTTCTCCATGATGCTCATACGTTTGTCTTTACAGGGCGCTCACAACGCTTGTAAATGACAGACAGAACAATTGGGACACGTACTTGAAGGGAGTTTTGTTCGTGTTGCGATCGAAAGTCCACACATCCACGAAGCAGACTCCCTTTCGCCTGCTGTATGGAAGGGAGGCCGTTTTTCCTGCTGAACTACCTGTGCATGTGCCGGTAAATTCCCATTTTATTTATGAGCTTAGAAATATCAACCAAATTTGCATAGAAGGTTTTTGGACAAGGAATGACAAAGCATTTGGTTGATAATCACTATTGGTTGTGTTTGTGTAATAGAATTGTTTAAACAAATACGATTTTTAGAACGTTATAATGTCATGTGAATGCCATTAATACAATTTGAAATAACTTGTACTTTTTTGTCAGCTGTCCATAACACTCCCAGAGGAAGCAACATACAATGCGTGTATTGAAGGCAGAGAAGAGGAAATGAAGACGACACACTCCAAAGCAGAAAAAAAAATGGCTCAGGCACATGAAAAGCAGAGGCTTGCCTATGCAAAAAAAACCTTAAAGAAATATAGAGCAGTATAGCATTCTGTTCAACATGAGGAAGAAGGGAAGAAAGGGGGGTCAGTATTTTATATTGCAGTTTTGTAAAAAGGATAATTACCTAAGGTTACATTCCCTGGTGGGTTTTTTGTATGTAATTTTTTTTCAGTTGATTTGAAAAGGGTAAACGCATTGTTTGACAATAATTGTCTGGGTATCTACACTTTTGAGCATATTTATTAATTAACCATTTAATCATACACATCCCTTGTGTGAGAAGTAGTATAGTTTATCATTAAGTAATTTTCTTCTTACAGGACGGATTGAGCCAGACTTCAGTGGACCGTACACCATTGAGGCAATTAATGGCAAACTTGCCACACTGGCCAATTTGAAAGGTGTCACTTTAAACTCCAAATACAGTTTAGATCACCTCAAGCCTTATAAACAAAGAAGGCCAAAATCAGACTACTCTACCAACAAAAGGTAGGGAGTGCTTATTTATACATGTATTTCATTCAAATGGTAACAAAGTACTAACATTAATCAGAATGTTAATGTGCAACTAAAAATACACAATAATAATTTGCATTTGAATATTTCTTTTAGCCCACAGAAGGAGGTGGCACCCGAAACGAGGCCTGTCAGGCCTTCGGTTATAGTTTATGCACCTCCATGCCAGGTAATGGTAAAAGCATGGTGATACTTTTTGTCTATGATTATTTGTTTATCCATTTGATCATTTCTGTAGCTTCTTTAATTTGACTTTATGCACAATAACTTAATTGTTACTAACATTTTCCATGCATGTGTAAAAACATCCTGCAGCATCCACAAGATGCAGGCATTGACATGAAAAAAGCCAGCATAGAAGAGCGAGGTTTGACTGTTGTAGCAAGGTTCTGACCTGTTGGGTCATATGTTCAGCCAACCCAAGTTCGTGTTCAGGGTTTGGGCATTTCTCATGGTTGTACCTACGTTTGTTCTTGCTGCTGTTTTTTTGTCTTCTATTTGCATTGATAAATGTTGGTGGTAAGGGGGTTTTCTACACAGATCTACCAGTCTCTTCCACAAGCCTATTTTCAAAAGAAGACTTTAAAAAAAAAGATTCAACACTTTGACTACATCATGATTCAAATGTTACAGTCACTTCCTAAATTAAAAATAGCTCTAGCAATTCTTTAAGCTCTCCTTTTTAAAATCGGCTCTTTTCCATCAAGTACCACATGTTTTGTTGCAAAAACATGTTTATTTTGTGGATTATTTATGTATGTTCAATTCTAACTGTGCTTTTTTTCAGTTAATACTCTGTGGGCTTCAGAGGATAAGGGCCACGTTCAAGCAGTTGTTGGCCCTTATAAACTGTATGATACCTCCTTTCGCACCCTCGAAGGGACTAATTGGCTGTCAGATGAAGTAAGAGTTTTCTCATTAAACCACCATTGTTTCAAATTTGTTACATTCTCTTTGCGGCATTCTAGGTTATAGACGCATATTACAAAGTGCTTGTGATGAAAGAGAAGGCAAGTTGGTCATCGATAGTACATGTTTTGTTGCATATCGCTATACATCATTTTCTATAGGCAAGTAATACAACCTTTTTTTAACAGAACACTCCTGTGCATCATATCAATGCTGTTGTGGCATCTGCACTGTTTGTTCATGGTAGATTTGAGACTCTAAGAAAGGTTTGACTTGTCTCTTCTCACTACTGTTATGCAGTCATCATAAGGCTCCTAAATATGATCACATTTATGTCTCAGATGAAATTCCCCACAGAGGATACATGGCTGTGTCCCCTAAATGTCGGCGCTCACTGGTTTCTACTGGTATGGTCTTGCCTTCCAAAGTGCTTTATGGGAAAAAATAAATGGATTAATATAAAATTCCTCTTACATTCTTAGGTCATTCACATTACACAAAGACAACTAGTGCTGATCGACCCGCTGTCAAATGAGGGAACATATCAGCGGAAAGTTCTCCAAAACTGGAGGTTCTTCATCTCTGATTAATCCATCTAAGAACTTTAATATAAAAATGACTTGTGTTTGATCTAGGAACTTCTTGAGGAGAGTGGAAAAAATGGAAAATGAAAAGTGGTCAATTGCAACACTAGAGCACAAAAGACAGCAAGAATCTTGCAGCTGTGGGGTTTTGATTTTAATGGTAAATATCTATTTAGACCATTTGACACACATAACGGAAAATATGGAATTTAATATTTCTATTTTACAGTTTGCTGAAGCCTATCTCCTCAACAGAGTCTTGAGCCACATCGAAACCTCTCCAAATGAAATGGAAAAGGCTCGTTTTTCTGTGGCTTGCACGCTTCTACAGAATTCGGATAAATAAATTGTTACTCCTTTGAATTCTGGTGTGATTGTATTCCAACCAATGCCCAGGGAATTTGAGAACACCTGAACAACTCAATGAATCTTAGCTTAATTTTTCACATAATACATAAATCAGAATCATTTTTATTGCCATGTAAGTAACAGGAAGTCACAGACTTGGAAATTGCTTTGGCTCAGTGAAACAGTCAGAGAGAGAGGTAAGAGTAGATAGAGAAGGCGTAAGTTAAAAAAAATCACTTCCAAGGAACACATTTAAAAAACGTGTTTGTAAGAGATATTTTCAAACCTTAAAATGAACAAGTTTAGGTAAATGTGGTATGAATAAGATCAGCCATGTAAATGAGTGATAACCATATCATTGGTTATTTTCAATCTGTTATATTGCAAGGAACATGGAGGACTACTGTATAGTATGTTATTCGCTGTTTGACATTGTCCTTAGTGGGTTTAAAAAGGTGAACTATCGCTAAATATGTAATGTAATTTCAGAATAGTATTAGTGTTAATTCTGTACAGGTGCAGTGTTCTACATGCAATTGATTGTTATTCTGTTTGTGCAGTAAGACAAAAAAAAAATACATTTAGCATACATATTATACTAAGCTACTCGCTGTACGTTTAATAGCTCAAAATATAAGTAGTGATGGTGTGTTTCCTTGTATTTAGTAGATTTATCAAAATAACTTCCATTTTGTAACCTTTCATTAATTCTAATACATCATAAATATGTCGGCCTTTCTATTAAATAAGTCATTTAGCTAAGAAAAGTTGGTTTCGGGGGTGGGAATGCACATTTCGACAAGGGGGGCAGGGTTCGATAGGCGGAGCTGTCGCATTTCGCAAGGGAGGCAAATTTTGACGGGGGGGCACGTCTCGACAGAACACCGGTCCCGTTTCTTTTATTTTAAGCTTTTCAGCCAGTGGTCTTCTTTCAAATGGATTTTGAAGAAGAGATTGCACGGTCTCTGTCTCGTATGCCGCCGCCATTGTCAACTTGTCAAGAAAGACTGGCTCCGCCCACCGGGTCTCGCGGACACTTGACCACACCAAAAAGTCCATGTAATATCTGGGCATGGATCTATTATAATAACTGGATAGGGTATTACAGCTTGTAGCTGAATAACTCATGTGCTCGGAGGATTCTCGCGGTACTGCAGACTGAACCAGACTAAATTCACGTGGGCTACCCAGAAATTTTCCCCATAGAACTCAATGCATATTAAAACAGCTCAACCTCAGCTGACAGAGAACCTACAGCTTTCATAAAGGTCGGATTTTGTGGGGATTTTAGTGTCCCTTGTCATCCTGAACTTTTTTTCTTCTTAAATCCTTCGGTTTTGTTTAAATCCACACTTTAGTGCCACAAACTCTGCTCGTCTGGCTCTCGCTCTAACTCCCGCTCTGATGAACTGCTCTGATTGGTCAGAGCGCGGCCGAGCCCCTCTGTGCACGTGCGTGAGACCCGGTGTGAGACCCAGACACGCGTGTTTGGCGCAACGCATTATGGGAGATCATCCACCGCGCAGAACCGGGAGGACCAGACGATGCCCAAATACAGGCGAGTTTCCCATAGATCTTTGCGAGTTTCAGGCAACTTCCGCTAATCTTTCAGCCCCCATGCCGTCACAAAGCGCCACTGAGCACAACCATTCATTTGAATAGGGCGCCATCTTGGATCGCCGGGGCTTGTATCTGGGGCGCTCCGATGGGCGCTGATGCCAAGCGCCCATCGGAGAAATAACATTGCGCGTCTCTGATTGGTTGAATTAATGATATGTAGTGACGTTTTTAAACACTATTAGAGCGCTATTGGTTAGAACGCGAGGGCGCTGTCCTCGCCGCCCCAAGCAATAAAACTACACATTTATGATTCTACTGCGGCACACGATGAAGCATGGCAGACAATATTACACAATCCTTCCCTTCCGCTCCCCCTCCCTTCAGTGTATAAAACACCTGTACAAAAGAAAATCATGATTTTGCTCAACTAAAAAAAAAAACTTTATATTATTTTTATTTGCAAAAATTAATAGGAAAGGCGGCGCCCCACCGCCCATAATGGACCAGCCGCCACTGAAAAATACGCCCCTTTTTTACTCGGTACACGCTTCGAAGACCCGGCACGCTCAGCACATCACTACTGTCCACAGAGACAGATGTAAGTACAAGACTTTAAACTCTATTCTCCACTAACAGACTGTGGCTTTGAGCAGCGTGGGCCTCGGGGATTCCAGCTTTAACTTTGTTTGAGTGATTCCGGTGTCAGGGGCTAATGCTAATGCTAATGCTAGTCGTCAGGATCGCTGTTTCCGTGTAAACTCTTCTTCTCACAAACAGCTCCACAGCTCACGGAGCCAGTGACTCTGGATATATGTAGATGTATTTATTTGACTGGAACAATGCAGTCAGACATAGTTACAAACCAAATCTGCAGCTGATGCAGACAGAGGTTATAGCAGATGCTCATTTACAACGTCCTGTCCCTGGTTGGACTTTTCTACACACTTTAAACACTAAACAGAGTCAATACAATAATAAAAGGTCCAGGTTCTCTCATGCTCTCACTACACTCTTTATCATATTGTTTGTTGTTCCAGAAGCGTCCGTCCTGTTTCTCCTGATGATATTATTATTAATAATCTTTATTTTAGACTCAAGATAAAATTGGTCCATACAAAAAATAAAAGATAAACAATAAAAGGACAATGCATTCAAATATATAGTATCATTTCCAGTAGATTTAAATATGATAAAGTGTATCTGTCCAGTGCTTTCTCAGAGCAGACATGTAGCGACATGAGCTCATTCTACCGTTGGTCAGAGTCCGAATCAGAATCAGAATCATTTTTATCAGAATCATTTTTATTGCCACGTGAGTAACAAAGTTATCACTTGGAAATTGTTTTGGCAGAGAGCGTGCCACTTCGCCATTTGCGGCGCTGTGTGCAGCAAGAAACAGCAGAGAGCAATAACATACAGTTCACAGACAATTGGATAGACACATTGTGCTTTTTATAAACCACGGATTTTTTTCTCGGGAAGAGCACCTCTTCGGCCGGCCCAATGTAGCTGTCAGAGGGGGGCGGGATCAGGGAGGGGGTGAGTAGGAAAACAATAAGGAATGGAGGGGAGGGAGGGAGCAAGATGGATAGGTAGAGGGAGGCGGGGGTGGGGGATCCTTGCTGAAGACTGAAATAGTGTGAGTTGTTGTAGATTGTGGGACCTTGTTTATGGCCTTGGCTGAGGAATGTGAGATAAGAGTGGAGAGAAGCCACAGGAGGAGAAAACACATCGCCTGCAATGTCGCAGTCAAAAGCAGGCAGATATTCTATTAATTCCAATTAAACCGAATTCCGATGCCCTCAGACCTCCGTACACAGGGGCAAATCCAAGCCGGGTCAGAGAGATCAAGCCTGACAAACAATGTCATTCAATCTCAATTCCAAAGTCTATGTCCATCAAGTGAACGAGCTGCGAGGTCTTTGATCAACTGTTCCACCAAAACCACCCTTCTTTGTCCAGACAC